ATTGATGGTACTGTTCATTCTGTGTGGCCCTCAGCCTGCTCAGGAACCAGATCAAACGGGCGAGAGAGGAGGGGGGGGGAGGTGTGGGGTTGAGCCTTATCGACATAATCCAGCCAGGAAGAATTTAGTCAACAGATCAAGGCCGTTGTAGGGGAGAGCCAGAATCTGTAATCAGTTGTTTTGGGAACAGAAAGAGTCAGGCAGATGATAACAATTTTCCATCTGCTTTAGTGTTCTGCTGGTGCATCTCAAGGTGGCGAATCCAATCAGACAAATAAAATGTGGACAAATTCCTCTGAGCCGATCCATCAGCTTCTCTAAGATGAATTCCATCTGCCCAGCAAAGTCCAGGGACCACAGCCGGCCCGCCACCCTCAATAGAACCGCTTGCAGACCGAGTCCAGCTCGCTCAAGGCAAAAGTCCGAGTGCTGATAGAATACAGCCATCCATCAAATTGGTCAGTCAGCCAGGAGATGCAAAGCCACAGACGCTGTTTTGCAGAACACCAGGAGACCACCAAGCCAATCTGCAGAATCCAGTGATCGAAGTCCAGACATATTTCCAGAACAGAGAAGAACAGAGGTCCCACCTTCGACATGTCCTCCCATGGAAGAAGAAAAAACTTTGTTCCAAAAAATTTATTGAGAGACCAGCTAACCAAATCCATTAAAATAAAAATATCCATAATTTCTAGTTTCGGATGAAAAATGTAGAGAAGGCTCCAAACTGCAAAGCAGGGACGATAAGGAAGGGCAGGAGAGAAGGAAAAAGCGTCTTACTCCTCCGAGAGCAGAACAAAAAAATGGTTCCGCTAATCTTTTGTTTAGTGGATTAGCTTTTCTCTAACTTTCTAAACTGTTAGTGGGCCAATTAGCTTCTGCTAAATTAGGTTTTGCCAACTTTAAGTCTGCTAACAGCTAACAATCAAACTAACAACAGGAAGGAGAAGGAGACGTCATCTTAGCATCACATGTGGAGTTCCTCAAGGCTCTGTACTTGGACCAAAGTTATTTATTTTATATATGAATGAGAATAAATGTGTCAGGACTTTTTAAATGTATTTTATTTGAAGATGATACCACATTTTTTTGTTTGGGTAAYGTATGGAACAGATGTTGGAGATGATGCAGACAGAATTTGGTGTATAACGTGATAATCGTTCCGCACTTAATTTATTGTATTGATGTTTGGGGGAAAGCGTGCAAAAGAATTACAAATACTATTTTTGTTTTACAGAAAAGAGCTATAAGAATTATCAATATAAAACATTTCAGCCATCCATCAAATACATCATTTTATCAACTGAAGTTATTGACGTTCTATGGTTTGGCTGATTATATGATTTTATTGGTTATGTATAGGGCTCATAAAAACACATTACTTTTRAACGTCCAGTTAAATTTTGTTAAAAGAGAGAGTTGTTACAAACTCAAGGGATGTTTGTAAAACCAAAATTTCAAACCAGTTTGAAGGACTGATGTACTTCAATCCAAGGAATACGATTATGGAATAATCTGGAGAGTGATGTTAAAAATGCCAGATCAATCTTTATGTWTAAKAGAATGATAAGAGTTGGTCTATTGAAGAAATATGAAATAGCATAATGCTTATCCGTATGAATTGTTGCTCAAGAAGTTACTGTTTTTTTGTTTTGTTTTTGTTATTTGTAAATTATTACTGT